GGAATTAGAGGAGCATTATTTATTAGTACCAGAGCAGATTAAAAATAGAATTAGGCAGCTTGCATGTACCATAAGGTCACTACAGACTTTCTTCTGATATTATACAAAAGCCTTGAAATAGAACACTACTTCCAGAAATCATAAATATGTGCCATTATAAATACAGCAAGCAAGTATTGTTATAAAGTGAAGATTTTTTTTAAATGTTTACCTTCTTTCATCTTCTGCAAATGTTATCTGAGCCCACTGTTAATCTGTGGGTGTGAAAAGTTCACTCCTCAGCACCTAGGAAGCTCCGAGGAGTTGTGTGGTCAGTGCGGCCCAAAGTCCCACTGCAGACTAGTAGCTAAGCCCATTACACCACTGCATAAGGTCAAATGAGCTTCCACCAGGGTAAGAGGAGGGGATGCCTGTACTATGGATTGTTCAGGCTTTGTAGTCTGTTATTATACACCCCAGTAAAACATATCAGTCCAGTGGAGTCAGCACGTTCGGGTATGGAGCTGAGAGGGGAGCTGTATCCTTGTCTAGAGACACACTGTGCTCTGCTTATGCACAAAGTAGTTCGTTCAAAGTTGTGGTGAGGTGTTCAAGGTCTGTTCTGAACAGAGAAGGAGATGTGGAGGAGTTGACTGTTACAAGTTGTGAAAATGAATCACTGTGTGTGTTTCTTGTGCTTTAGTCTCAAAGATTTTACACATTTTCAACATGTGCTGTCTTAGTCTTAACTTGTCAGTGATCAGTAAAGCACTTTGAATTGCACTAACTTGTACAAAATATGCTTTACAAGTAAAACTTAATTGATTGATTGGACTGATTTAAACTGAATTGTAACCTCATACGACGAACTAAAATTCCATTTGTCGAAAAATCTCTCATGTTTAAAAAAGCGTCTGTGGCTCAGGAGGTAGAGTGGTCGGCCCCTAACTGGAAGATTGGCCGGTCGAGTCCCGTTCTGCCCAGTCCACATGTCTGAGTGTCCTTGGTTGGCTGACTCGGTTCTGTACCAGAGACAAATTCCTTGTGTGTGTAACATACTGGGCCAGTAAAAGTGATTAAAATGAAAAACATCACCTTTGACACTACTGTAAAGAATGGCAATGACGGACACATACACTTATGTGCGCACACACACACTTCTTGGATGGTGACTCATGAATGAATTATGCATGGTCCTGCTGGGTTTGATAAACCTTCACCCTACCATCATAAGTGGGTGCTTGCTGTGACCAATTGATTACTTTATTGAGATTCATGTTGATGAAACTGAACTTTATTCACTTAGCAGAAATGATTACATACATGTTATCTGATAAAGAAACAAATTCACTTAGTCGACATCTAGAACAAATGGTTCCTTCTCTGTACTTCAAGTATATCAAACTGCTTTCATGCTTTGGATGTTTTTTTTTGTTTGTTTTTCCTGTGAATAAGCTAAGGCTGTAAAGGATGAGGTCTATATTTATCAAATTGACCACAACAAAATTCACTAGCCTGCTAATTGATCTATGAAAGGCTCAGAAGCCATGTGGTGTTTTAACAGATGCATCTATCTCATCTATCTCTGCAGCCGCATTAACACACACACAGAGCTCTCAGGTAGAGTGAGGAACCTCTGTGCTTCCCCGAGGAATATAGACAAACACTGAATTACTTACATCACATCTGACTTGTTGCCAGGCAGTGTTTCCTACTTGGTGGGAAATTAGTTTCAGTATTTAGCAGTTGCTGTTTTTATACCCTTAAGTGAGGTGTTTCCAGTGACAGTATTTAGTACAATCTGCTTTTACAGTGAGCTTATATAATATGAAGGTAAATTAGTTCTACTATATAGCCCTGAGTGTCTCCATGCACACATAAGTGCTTCCATGGGGATTTTGTGGTGAAGTATGTAAAAATAACTGATCCTGGAAAAACATTCCCTCTGGGTCATAGTTGTTCTATAGTAGTGCCATGTATCCAGTGAGGAAGTTGTATGTTACATCTGTAATTCATACTCTGTGCTTCTCCAGTGGTTCTTGAGAACTTTTAATCGAAACAGACCGGAGGGGCCCACCATCACTGGTGGAGACCGAACCTTAAATCTGCAGCTATTGTATGACTGGCTCGTACCATATTCAAACCCTCCCTTGAACTCAAGAATTTTTAGAAACTGTTACCATAAAAAGAATACAGAAGTACTGTACTTCAGGTACAATGACGTTGTGGGGTGCCATGTGAAAATGATAATCCTAAACTAGACAGCACTCAGAGAGAGTGCAGACCTCAGCCAAGGGAACTCAATTTCCCCCTAGTACCATTACACCTAAAAGCAATATTACCATGACAGTTTGACCCTCATGATATGATTTCTTGAGCGTGAAAACCTACCGCTGGCATTTGGAATTACATTGATATCACTATTAGTTTGAATGTTATTCAAGAAAAATCATAAACATGTGCGATAACTAAATGTCCCAAAAACAAAATAAATGTCCCAGGCAGACTGGTATAACAATGTGTACTTACAGTCCTTCATAAATGCCCTCTAATCACACAGTATGGTTGCATGTAAGTTCACTTTCCAACGTGCCTCCTGCTATCACTATGGGGCATTCACACATGCACAAAGTATTTGTCACTGGGTCCCATAGGGGTGATGTTTTTTCATAGGCCAACCTGGAAGTTAGCGTCATTGTTTACAGTTGGGTAGGTGATTGTAGTAATAAGTCTGAAGTTGAAGTTTTAGGCCTGTGACACACCAAGCTGACAGTCGGCCATCAGTGAGCGTCTGTGAGGGCTTGTCTTTCTGTTGTGTCCCAGACCATTGAGACTAGTCGGACCCTGTTGGCGGCCTTTTAGCCGATTTGGCGTGTTGAATCGGTGTCAGCCCGTCAGACCTAATTGGTGAGAGAGACCACTCTGACTGGCTATTCACTTTAGTGAATCAGTGCACAAGATGAGAATGGTTTGGGAAAGCCCCTTCAGCCTGTTGCTGTAGTACCCTTGATTTCACACAGTTATTGCAGTTTCTCCTTGTTTTTTGCCTCCATGACCTCCTTTCTTCTTCCACAACCAAAAGACCAAGGGCAGAGAGCGCCAGTGTCATTTGCAACTTCTTTTCAGACATATTTTCAGTTAGAAGCAGTTATAAAAAGCAGCTGTGTTGAACAAGAGCTGCTTTCTTTATGCTTGCATTTCTGCTGTTTAGCTCTTCTTTCTCTTTCTAAATGGCGAGTACAGATTCCACCACCTGCTGTTAGGGGGAGTTATTTCTCTTATGCAGGTGAAGAACATAGTTGGCTGTTGGCTGTAGTCTGTGTGGTGTGTTCATGTGCCACCTTTTCGACCCGAATGGCATAGACAAAGGCAGCGTGAGGTGATGCAACAGATGGCTTACATCGCTGCTAGTTCTTTTACTTCAGCTTGGTGTGTCTCTGCCCTCCTGAGGACAGGAGGATGCAGTACTCATAATGTGCAATTGAAACACCGGTGTCCTCACAGACAGACTACTGTGCTCTGAATGAGATGTAGTTGCCTGCTAATAGAGCTAGTTTTGTCTGCTAACAAGTACTCACATCTCCAAAAACGTCAGAACAAATTCTAAATTGGCAATACTTGGATACACTGACCAGATACGATCAATCTAAGTGGTTACTTTGTTGCCTGGAAAACAATGTCAAAAATAATAAAATGGCATTATACTAGTCCTACAGATGAAAATCACAACAGCATTGAGCCTGGCTCAATATCTCTGCCATCACTATCTAGGATAAAGAAGAATAATCAGTTGTTCTGTGGTCCATACCCTACCTCTCCAAAAAATGCTATTAAAATTCATTCATTACTTTTTGAGTTAAGCTGTTAAAAAATAAACCAACAAACGCTAGCAAAAAGATTACCCCTGCCATTGAATGTAAGTCTCTAAAAGAGAGTTTACCAGCAACCAAAATCACCTTCCCTATGATCATGGACCAAAGTCTGGACTCAGTTAAGCACATTGTTCTTTGGCTTTGTGAGGACTTTTTAGTTGGCTTGTCTCAAAAAATTGTATTTTACAGGCCAAAAATGTCTATATGGTAAAACCTTCTGAAATATGCTGAAATCGGTGATCACAATGCAGGCTGCTGTTCATTCTTTACATTGCTTTTAAAGAGAGAGCAGTTTACATAGCTAGTAATATCAGTATTCTGCAGTAGAACACAGGCTGATATTCTGTAATATTTTCTCAATTAATTGATTAATTGTTTAATCTATAAAAAGTCAGGAAATAGTGAAAAATGCCTATTAAATCTTCCCAAAGCATATGGCGCTGTCTTTAAATGTCTGTTTTTGTTTAACATAGTCACTTTTATTGCAACAGTAGATCTAAAACTAAGACAAATTTTTATTTAACTGAAAGTTTATCATTTGCTCCAAAAAAAAAAAGTATGAAAACTGCCTGAGACAGTTTTCAAGCTGGGGTCTTGCTTCCTTTCACTGATAGTCCAAAACCCAAAGATTCTCAGTTTAAAACTGTTGCCGCCTAATTGTTGCAGTTCTCCTTAAGTGATGTTCTTTGCTTAAAATGTACTGGTATTAAGTTTAAATGTAGTAAAAGAAGTACCCCCCAGTTGTGG